TTTGGGTTCCTTCGCCGTAACAATCCTTTTTTGGCGGGGCTGTGTAGCATTCGACTCTCCCTAAAACCTTCAACACAGGCCTACCATAGCGCCCTCCAAAAGGAACCATAATTTGGGCACTTACCCAGCTTTCCAGGCTGCTTCCCTCCCGAGTAGGAGACAGCCTGGATTGGCTTGGAATTACAAGCCCGCGGATGACCGATGTTGGAGATTGCCAAGACCCAAAGGGTCTATGTAGGTATGTGACATATACTTGGGCCCCAAAGTGATTACATCGGGGCCCCTTACCCTAAACTGCGTAGCTATGAATTCCCTGCCAAGGTGATTAGTTCCGTAGAAGCCCCTTACACGTAAACCCTATGCCTGCATGGGCCCTTTGGAAGACTTGTGACGCCCACCCGTGGCGTCCAGAGAGAGCCTCTCAAAACAGAACCCTCAACCCTACACCCTACCCTAAACCATCAACCCTAAACCCTTAAACCCTATACACCCTAAGCCCTGAACCCTCTCAAAACAGAAGTATCCTGCGAAGTCCTGGTGGTTCTAACGGGTTATTGGAGGGGGTACTCAGGGCCTAATAGCTTAATATCCCATACTTGAGGAATGTATACAGTATTTGGCATATGTGTATATGCTTGCCTATATATATGGTCACCCCCCCAAGATCTATATTGAAAAGTCTTGCATTATACTCCCTCTCTTAGAAGTACATCATAACCTCATCGCGCACAGCTGAAAACACTGTAATCTTAAAGCAGTTATATCTCCTGCACTTGTAATTATGTTGTTCTCGAGGTGCGTTTAATGACAACCGGAATCCGGTAGTTGACTGATATCTACGCTCTTGGAAGTTTGCATTGCCCTCCAAGATTTAGTCGCATGTTCTTGAAAACTGTGTGAAAAGTTCCCAGTTTGTGCACGTTTTAGACACATCCTCAGGTTTCAGCAACATTTTTCCTTGATAAGCTTGCTAAAACCTGAGGAAGTACCAAAAAAACAAAGCTTGGAGGTGAAGATCCTACCAAGACCTTACGAGGTACCAAAAAAAACAAAGCTTCGAAGTCAACATCTTGCCAAACCTGAGGAGGTACAAAAAAAACACACACAAAAAAAAAGCAAAGTTTTGGAGGTCTTGGGATTGGAGGTTTCACTTTTTTTTTGTACCTCCTCAGGTTGTTGCAAGGTTTTCAAAGAAAATATTGCCAAAACCTGAGCAGGCGCAAAAAAAAACAAAAGCTTCAAAGTCAATATCTTGCCAAAACCTGAGGAGGTACCGAAAAAAAAATATTGAGATCTCCAAGCCCAAGACCTCCAAAACTTTGTTTTTTTTTGTGTTTTGGTATTCTTCAGCTTTTTTTCAGCATGTTCACCTTTAGACTTTGGTTTTTGTTGGTACCTCCTCAGGTTCTGGCAATGGAAAACCTTACCAAAACCAAATGAGGTACCAAAACCTCAAAGTTCTAGAGGCTAGGCACTGGGAGACCTTTAAAGCTGTGTTTTTATTGTGCTTCTGGAACCTTGTGAGGTTGTGGCAATGTTCAAAGATGTGTCTTTAAAAGTTTGATTTTTAGATTTGTTGATTGTCCTAGAAATTCAGGAATACAGGGATCCAGTATGTTGCTATTAATTTCAATTAGATTTAGTCAGGAATTCATCAGGCCGAAAGTAGATTGAGGAATACAGGGATCTAGCATTTTGCTATTGATTTTAATTACATGTAATAAGGCATTTATAATGCCGGAAGTAGGTTGGAAATCCAGGAACCCAGGATTTTGCTAGTAATTTTAATTAGGCGTAATCAGAAATTTAGAAGGCGTGAAGCAGTTTCGAAATTCAGGATTCCAGGCATCCAGGATTTTGCTACTAGTTCTAAAAAACAATAAAGAAAAACAAATTTAAAAGCCAAAGACAGATTTGTACGTTGTAACTTCTTGTAATTGATTCTGAACACTGTGACTTGTAACTGTGTTTTGTAATATCTTCCAAACAAAGAAGGGGACAATACATGATGAAAACCATCTCCCAAACTATAATTCCAGGATTCCAAGATTCCCCTTTGCTTTCTTAAAATATCTGAAAAGGAATTAATGTAATCCAACAGCCATCTCCAAACCCAGAATTCCAGGATTCCAAGATATCTCTGTAATTACTTATTGATTTTGAAACGGATTTTTTAGGAACCAAAGCCAACCTGCAAATGTAGAATTGCAGGATTCCAAGTTTTCTCTTCAATTCCTACCTTAATTCCTAACTGGATTTTGAAAGGACTTTATATAAAACAAAACCACCTACAAAAGTAGAATTGCAGGATTCCAAGTCTTCTCTTTAATTACGACTTGGTTTTCAACAGGAATGGATTTAAAACTTTGTCGGCCCCCCAAAACAAGAATTCTAGAATTCTAAGATTCCCTTTTGCGTTCTAATTAAGCTTTAAAAATCATTTGTATAAAGCAAGGCCACCTCTAAAGCTAGAATTCTAGGTTTCCAGGATTTCTGTTTAATTCCTAATTAGATCTTAAAAGTAAATTGTAAAGCAAAGCCACCTCCCAAACTATAATTCCAGGAGTCAAGATTCCCGTGTGCTTTCCTAGCATATTTCAAAGGAGTTTAATACAAATAAAAACACATCCAAAACCAGACGTCTAGGATTTCAAGATTTCTCTCAATCTCTAATTGGATTTTAAACGAATTTTGTATAAAACACAGCCACCTACACAAGTAGAAGTAGAACTGCAAGATTCCAAGTTTTCTCCTTGATTTGAAATTGGATTTTAAAAGGAATGTATATAAACCAAAGCCACCTCCAAAACCAGGATTCCAGGTTTCCAGGAATTCTGTTTAATCCCCAATTGGAGTTTAAAAGGAATCTATATGAAGCAAGGCCGCCTCCACCCAGGATTTGAGAATTCTGGAGGCGAAACGCCTTCCCATATAGATCGTGGAGGGGGCGGGGGCAAGCATGTACACATATATATATATATACATGCCGAAAAACACCAAGACATTGAATGTGATTCGAGACATGACCGTCAGTAACCCTTATTGGGCTGCGGTGGGGGTGACTTGAGGGGCTCTGAAGTCCTTCTGGCAGTACACCCTAAAACCCTGAACCCTAAACCCCACCTGGACCCTGGACGTCCTGTTTTTTGAGGGATATACTTATAATTTATGGACAGAACCCCAAAAAAGGAAGGAAATCCAGGGTCCAGGCAGAGCCTTAAACCCTAAACCCTGAAACCTGAAGAGTAGTTTCCATGTTCCTTTCCATAATCCTTATATAGCCCCAGTATATCCCTATAGTTTACATTTGATTTTCCATAAACCACCCTAAACCTTAAACCCCAAACCCTGGTACCTAAATCCTGAAACCTAATCCCAACTTTTGAGCCGTTCTAGGCCCATGGGTGTGCTTCGTGTCAGATCGTGTCAGCCAAGCCGATTTCACGCGCTTCGGCTTTCATGCGGCGTAGTGCACCTGTGTGCCAAGCGGGGAGCTGTAGAGTTGGAAGGACATCGAGTTTGGGGTTTAGGGTTTAGTTTTTTGGGTTTTGGATTTTGGGTTTTGGATTTTGGGTTTTGGGTTTTGGGTAAGATGGACGGAACCCTACAAGTTGTTAGGTCGAGACTACATACCCCAGAGAGCACCTTAGCAGCTCTTGTTGTCACCAAAAGGGGTCCACAACAAAGAGGCCCACTTAAAAACGTCAGGAACTGCCTCCGTCTCAATGGAACAGATCCGTAGACCCCACGTAAGTTTTGAGAATTGTCTTCGACGCCAAGTGTCATGTACTAGGCTAGCATGTACTGAGGCAGAAGATCCCCGCTTGGCCTTTTAAGTTACCAAAGGGCCCTTTACAGGCCGGCAGCTCTGTCCAGAAGAGTTTCCCCATTTCTAAACGCCCCTACCCCGTGTGAAGGTCATGCCTTAAACCCAAAATCTTAGACCACCTTGACTCTCGGAGTATGGGGAAGGCGTTCGATCGTAGGGCGAAGTGAGGACTTGGAGGGTCATCGTGTTTTAAGTGGAGTCAGAAGGTGTTCGAACTACAAGAAATGTGGTTGGGGGCTTCTATGGGTTACACTTAAACCCACCTGGAGGGCGTCTTGGAAGGACGCAGCAGGCTTTGCATGAAAAGGCTGGTGCGCGCTTGTTGTGTTGGGCGAATGTTCACGTGGAGAGGGAACGGTAGCACGAATAGTAGTTCTTGATTCTTGATGCGGGAGTTTCTCCACAGGGTCATTGTGTAGTACATACGCTCCAAGCAGTCACCCCAAGGTGTTCTTGAGGCCCTTTCTTGTTTTCAGAAACACCACATAAGTTGCGTTACAAGACAAGGTTGTGCAAAAGGGAGTGATATTAGTCTCTATACATCATAACAAGTATAAGATTTCGTCTCCAAGGCAGTTGTTGAGGGTTGTCCCGTTTCTTCCTTGTACCAATTCATTGTACTCATCCGAGTCCCTCATGCAAGCTCAATGCCCCTGTACTTAGAGCGCAGCTGCTTACCGTAGGTTGTGTGTTTTCGAGAACAACTTACATTGCAAAGGCTGCTGTTCCGATCAAGTATAAGTAGGGTTGAAGCAAGTGGTACGTAGTCGCAGTATGTCATAGTCATCCTCCGTTTCAGTCCTTTTACAGCTGTCCATGAACATCCAAGTTTAGGCAGTATCTAGACGGGAAGCTTATCCGTGTGGATAGCTTAGACCTTCATCCAAGACATCGTAATTTCTGCATGTGACATCGGCGACTGGAATGAGTTTGGGGCGTGTGGGGAAGGTTACAACAAGATAATGTGGTCCTTACAGTTCTTATTATAAAGGGAGAATCGTGCATCGTCATGTCTGCCTAGCTCCAACAAATCAGCTTGAGGTCATTTCTTTTGAGTCTGCGAGCAGAGATTGCCTCGCCGCTGTCCTGGTGGCTCATAGGTTTTTGTTGCTGACGGCTGGGCATAAATATATAGTCTCAGGACCAAAACTGGACCTTTCGCTCCAAAACCATGTCGGTGCCAGCAAAGTTCATCGATGTGGTGGCCGTCGGCGAGTCTTGCCCTTCACCATCCGAATCCGAGCTGGGAAAGAGTGTGAACATGGCAGACTCATGCACCACGCTACTGGGCGCCACTGAGCGTGGCTTTCTTTTTTTTTCCTCTCCAGCGAACACCACAAGCTGGACTAGGGTTGAAATGGGGCAGCTGGGCATTTACTAAATTTAGGACCCCGGTGGGTATCAAGGGTGTAGGAGAACCTCAGTCTCGAGAAAGCTCAGGCTCCCAGCCAGCGCGAGTAACGGCACTATCAAGCTTGAATCGCCCACCACGGTGTCCTCCGACGAGCCCAACGAGCCCGATGTGGAGAATGCCTCAGAGGACGGAAGCCCACATTCACATTGTCGCCGGATCATAAGCTATGCAGTCTTAAGGAAAGGGACTATGAGCCCCATGTGGAAGAAATGCGATGGTTGTAATTGTTTTCAATAGTTAAGAGCAGATTTTGAAATTCAAAATGTGAATATGTCGACATTGAAGTCAGAAAAAGGCCCAGAGCCCTTGAGATGCAGGAAGCCAAAAAATCCGCGACCTTAATCCTGCAGAGCCCAGAGTAATCCTAGGCACAGCCCAAAAGTTAAGGTCATGGCGCCGATGGAAAGTGCACTTGCCCCAGTATCTGGACAAGGACAACCTGTGGGCTTCCCCTGGGTGGCTTCTTCCTTGCCTTCCTGCATCAGGGTTAGATTTGAAGAAGATTGTGTGAGCTGTGCTTGCATAGCGACTCTATGATACCCTAAGCCCCCTAGACAAGAAAAGCCGCAAATCTGGCTTAGGAATTCCGTAGCGTCAAGCGTGAGCTACGGATTTTTCTTGGGATACATGGGCCTCGACTCCTACGTGGTGATGTCCATTGGCGCCCTCATGAAGCTTCCGCAGGTGTTGCTTTTGCCCTTCGGCATGATGAATGATTGCTTCCCCATCTGTGGCCAGCACAGGACGGCCTAGGGTTTGGTGTTTAGGGTTTAGGTTTAGGGTTTAGGATTTAAGGCTTAGGATTTAGGATTTAGGGCTTATTGTTTAGGGGTTAGGCTAGAACAGGAAGCCGTACTTCGTTGCGGCATGGATCCTTTGCGGCACTTCGCTCTTGGTGATGACTGTCCGTCCACTTCCCGAGCCCTATTACTGCCAGCTTCCCGACGGAAGTTTTGACATCATGTCGCCACCATGCAATCCCGAGATCCATACCCTGAAGAACTGGTATCTAGGTGGCACTTTGGGATATGAGGTTCCATCTTTCTTTCTGTGAGGACCTACTCGTAAATATTTTGGTGGCCTTCAGATCCAGAACCCTGTAGGTATGTCTTCCCCTTGCTCGTCCTTGTTGCGGGCATCCAGATGGGCTGCGTGGCAGGAGAGGGGCTCCTGCTTGAGTATTCCCAAAAGGAGCCAGCAAAGTGCCGAGGCAAGATGAAGGCTGAGTTCACCATGGTCACAATGGGTGGCTCACTTCTTTCCTCCGCCTTCATGGGGGTGTTCATGAATGGAAAGGAGTACTTGGGCACATTCCATTGGAGCTTGTCCTTCCGCAGTCTGATGGCTGTGTGCTTAGGGATCGCCATTTGCATCTTCCCCATGAGCTTCTGGGTTGCTGTTAATGAACTTAATTTAAGTCACAATATTGGGGAAACCAAATTATTTTCCATGTATACCAATAATGGTAGCTTAGTTCAAGTTCCTTAACAGCAACCCAGGCTTGTGGTGCGTCACCGAGCCCAAGAAGGAAGAGCGCCAATCATGCCGTGCACATGTAAAATCCTCCTGGAGCCTCGCCTGCAGCTTGACGTCGGCTGCCCGAGCTATATAGGGCTATATAAGGGTAATGGAAAAGAAAATGGAAGCTATGATAACAGGGTATATATCATATTGGGTTTAGGGTTCAGGGTGGCAGCTTCATCATACAAACACTTACTATCAGGGTTTGTGAGGGGCCCCTTATCTCCTAATTGGCTTCTCGGTCATGAGAAGGGTCATGATGCAAGGCCTGCCCGTACTGTAGTCGTCGTAGCCAGAGAAATACGTGTCATCTTTCTGGGGATGGCTTCTGAAAAGTCCTTTTTACAAAGGTTCTTCGTTTCCGTGGCTTTATGGACACGCTCTTTTGAGCTTGTTCAAGGTTGGCCAACAATTAGAGAACAAGCACGACCATGTCCTGAAATAGCTTCTTCTTTGCTGATATACCTCGCCCGCCAGACATGCTGCGATAGTCGTGCGATGGAGGAATGTGTCTGACGCACGCGCACACACAACCACTCAGCAAACTGCGCAGGAAGCCGCATAGCTCTGACCCATCAAATAACCTCCCAGAGGAGGTGTAAGACTCACTCCATGTGAAACCTTACCTAAGGTCTATTCAGGGCCTTGGGCCCTCACACTGAGGTTGAAGTGACCTAAAAGGGGTTCGCTGCTGCTCAGCTCTCATGCATTCCGATAGTCCAAGCCCATTTTGTGGTTGGTAGGTTTGGCGACCTTGTCTCCATTTCTGTCCCATTCAGTTCCATCAAACCTACACGCTTGGCGACAGGAGTTGTACAGAAGGCCCACCCGGCGTACAGGTACCCACCTGTAGTGAGCTTGTACAAGGCTTCTTTATTCCTGCCATGTTTTCTGACTTCTGGGCCAGCTTTTCAGCACGAAAAATGTCTTCTCATGTTGGAAATACGGGAAAGTATGTCGTACTAGGAAAGCAGATTACAAAGCAAGCTACTGTGATTGTTGTTGACCAAGGAAGCTCGTCAAGAACAAGGGCCTGTCCGCCGTGCTGCTCTTTGCCTTCATCATGCAGTTCTTTTCCACCATATCAACGACTGCAGGGCCAATGGTCCGGAGCCAATGGGCTGGGGTGAAGGTCTTGCAGCAGCAGATGTTCATCATGGGCAGCATGCTGGTGATGATGTTGGCAACTTGGGTCTACAAGGAGTACTTCCTCCAGGTAAGCTGGCGCAAGGCGATTCTTTTCGCAATCCTGGGGGTGACGGTCTCGGACTCTATCCCGACCTTTCTCGCAGTGTTCGATGTCGTTCGAAACCAGTATTTCTTCCTGGGTGAGGATATCCTGGGAGCTGTGCCGTCTACGGCACTCTCCTTGGTGTTGAACTTGATGGTCATTGAACTCGCAGAGCCTGGGCGAGAAGGCCTTTGCTACGGCTTGATTGGGACTGTCATGCATGCCAGCCAGCCCATCGCAACCGCCATGAGCAATCAGGTCTTCGGTCTCTTCCAGCCCAACCTGTCCGATCCCCGCAACTACCTGGCAGACACACCCAGCTTCAGGAACACCGTGGCTTTGTCCTATGCGCTAGCCTACGGTGCATCCATGCTTGGAGCGTGCGCGCTGCCCCTGATTCCCAAGCAGAAGGCTGATGTCCAAAGGCGCAAGAAGGAGTGGAGCGCCAGCCTGCCTATGGCAATTTTGGTGTTGGGCATCCCAGCTCTCTGCCTTCCCTATGGTGTTGCGGTGCTGCTGCTCAGCTCCCAGCCTGAGACAGCATGCATGCGCTGGATCGGTGGCCCGGGCTGCCCGTAAGCCGCGGTGAGCAGCATTTTCAGTAGTGTTTCCGTATAGTATTGCTTGAGTGATTCTAAACTCATGCAGTAGCAGGGGACACTCTTGGGCAGGGTAATGTAAGAAAATTCACATGGGGCGTAGGATGAGCTCATTAAGAGGTCGGCTTTCACAAAGAAAGCTCTAGCCTCAAGGGACACTCCCCTGTTTCATGATTGTTTTACAAACCGATCTAATGAGTAGACGGTTTTTTCAGCCTGGCAGACCCTATGAGTTTGCATTCAGCGCTGCTGGCCCTATGAGTCTGCGTGCTGTTCCCGGTATAGGCCAGAATTTAGGTCCTTGTTTACCAAGGTTTAGAGCTTTAAGATACCTAGGGCCCCCCTCCAGCCCTAGCCTTACCCTAAATCCTACCCTGCAACCTAAGAAAGGACTAGAGTTTTGGCAAACCGCTTTGGGCAGGAGCCCAAGCGTCCTTGGTGGTGGAAAGGCTATGTCTCAAAAGAGGGGTCGTCTGAAACCCATGGTAATAAGAGGCATACCCCCAACATGGGAGCCTAAGGCTTTAAACCCTAGACCCCGAACCCTAAACCACATCTTATGCCCAAAGCCTGCCAAGAAGGTAAAGAAGATAATAGGTACGGAGCCCTTTTTAAAGTACCTCTTTTTCTCCAGGTAGACCATTTTGAGACTAGGTAGGGAAACGCAATGCTATTAGCAGGTACTTTCCTATGGTCTCTTATAACTTCTATCCTGGATAACACCAGCGTTTTTGTAGGCCTTGGGTGCTGCCCCCACTCAGTATCAGCTGGATAATATGTACATATATATATACATATATATTTTTCACAGACACACATTCACATTTGTACATATACGATTATATATCTGTATATACATGTCCGCAACATATATATGTATATATATATATATGTTTTCTAAAACCTTAATATGGCCCCTAGCACAGGCTGTTCCTGTGCCTACCTAGCTCCAGATGGACCATGTTCAGACATCCTGAAGCCCTGCTTGTCATCGTGGTAGCAGGCGATTGTGAGACACCCCTGAAGTGGGGCAAGTAAACCATGTTGAGACCCTATACCCTATAAGCCTTAAACCCTGAACCCTAAGCCCTAAACGGGTTTAGGGTTTAGGGGGTTATGGTTATTCTCCCAAAATCTCGTCAGACCATTTTTGAGACATCCTGAAGTGGGGTCGGTGGTGGAAAGGCAAGATCCGACTGGCAGGTACCGCCGTGAGACCGGGCCTCAGGGCCATCACCTTGGCCTGGTCCAAAACTGTCCTCAGCTTTGGGTTTAGGATTTTAGGAGTTACCTTAAACCCCAAACCCTAACCCTAATACCTATACATCTGTGTATATATACACACATTTATAGGTAGGTATAGGGGTATGTAGGGCGTAGGCTTTCTCAAAAAGGGGGCTGCACTTGCTTGGAGTTTCAGCAGGTCAGAAAGTTGGCTAAGAATGGGGATACGTAACTGCGGTCATTCTGTGGCTTGCGGGGCTTGTAAGTGTACTCACTAGGCCTTTTTCATTTATGGCTTTGGGGGTCGAGGGATGTGAGGTGTTTGGGCATTGGAGCCACGCAGACGGCATCACTGCATTGGAAAATACTCAGATCTTGACCAGAATTCCTAAGCTCTAGGGCCGGGGCCAGGAACGGCTTAGAAGAGGACTTTTGGTGAGATCCGGTCTTACCGACGCTGCCACTCTGCATGCCTTCTACTTGAGCTCACATGTCAGGCGCCTAATCGTGTGGGAGTTTCTCAAGATTGCGGGTCCTTCCCTGGGCCTCATAGCTTGCTTCTAAGCCCTAAGCCCTGCAGTTTGTGCGTTTTCTCGCAGGTAGCAGCTTTCAGTGTCATATTTGGGCACTTCATAAGTAGATGTGTATACATACATATATATATATATATTCAAACGCCAAGGCAGTGGAGGATCCTGACTTTGAGAACTACCCATGTTTCCACTAATTCAGGAAGCTGCGCAGCTCCTGAAAAAAACACCACACGTCAAGAGGGCCAAGGGCTTTAGTCAAAACGGTAGCACGCCTCTGGGCTAGCTTTTCTCAACCACGCTTGTTCATTTGCGCCCCTTGGCTTTGTTTCAAGTTTTCCGGGCAGACTTGCTGGCAGTCCTGGTCACCAGCACAAGAAGTCATCCGTCCGTGCTATAGAGACGGCTTGGACCTACCAGCCCCTGCGGGCAGACTTCAAGTCGGAAGTCACCATTTCTCGCCAGCGCCCACCCGTGGCATCAGGTCTGCATGCATGTGTTTCTCTTGTTTCTTTTGAGCCGTTCCAGGTGCATGGGTGTGTTCTGTTTCCGGTCGCGTCGGCAACCAACCCAGAAAGAATTGATCCAGAAGTCACGTGCTTAGGCCGACGCGAGAAGCACCCGCGCACCTCCGGCTTTTAAGGTTTCCACGAACTTGGCTGCTTGCTGCTCGTGCGCATGGCATCAAAATCTTGCCCAGCTTCAGCAGACCATCATTCAGAGAGGTTAGGACCTGGATGTGTTAGTACCTGATGATGTGTTCGGTGTTGGGCATGATGCTGGGCTTCTGCAGTATCATACCAGGAGTCGGAGCGCCACATCATCCAAATCCATAGTTCTGGCCAGATGACACTGACTAATCACACACGGGGGGAATACTCTCAAACTATTCGAGGTTTTGGAGCCCAACAATGGGATAGCCATTTCTCATGTGTGCATGTTTTTAGCTCTGTGCTTGTAGCACTGTCCCCACCTTGAGGATGCAGCGGGCGTGGGCATGACAGCTGGGACGTGCTCTGTAGGCCAACGCACTTCACAAGCACAAGCATGTCGAAGAGAGGGAGGGGGAGGCGGAGGGGAGGAGGAGAAGGAGGAGTAGCAGGGGTTGAGGCAATGGCCGAAGCAGTAGCGGTACTAGTAGGTGGTGGTAGCAGAAGCAGCAGCAGGAGTAGGAGTAGGAGTAGTGCTAGTAGTAGTAGTAGTAGTAGTAGTCGTAGTAATCGTGGTGGTGGTAGTATACTACTTCTATTACTATTATTATTATTATTACTACTACTACTGCTGCTACTACTACTACTTCTACCACCAGGGCCAGTACCAGTGCTAGTACAAATTATGGTACTAACACGTATACTAGTACTAGTACTAGCACGAGTACTAGTGCTAGTAGGAATCACCGCTGTCTTTGCAAGGAATAAAAGCAGAAGCAAGTGCTTGTGCTGGCACACTGCCTTGAATGATAACTTCGTGCCTCTGCATTGCCAGAGTTTCTCATGCCGTAGATCTTTGAGCAGGACTTGTTTTAGGGGACTCTTGCAGCTTGTGTGGCAGATGTTGAAGCCTCAGGGCCACCAATGTTTTTTTGATTTGTCGGAGTCTGCAGTTAGTCCCTCCCTAATTTGTGGACAGCACTTCACATCTTTTGTCTGCCGTGATTTTTTCTGGGAATTTTCGGCTTTTGACACACAGGCAATTTTAGTCGCTGACGTCTGGGATATTTGCTAAGAAGGCCCTCTCTTGGCCTTCCAAGCTTCAAAGCCATGGCGGAACCTGCATCTGGGTTTTGGTTCAGAGGTTGATGGGCTTTGCGGGTTCAGGGGCGAGTGCTTACCGATTTCAGGTGAGCTTAATGATGTAGGGGTTGTAGACCACATTAAGAAGATACAGAAATGTCTTCTGGTGAGACTCTGGCAACATAGGAGATTATCTAAAGGTTCACTATACATCCTTGGCTCTTATATCCCTACACTGGCTCCGTTTCCAGAAGCCCTCTTAAAATGAATACAATGCTGACTTGTTCTTTTCAAGTCCTGCCCTCCCCAAACCTAAGACAGAATCCACAAAGAAAGTGGTGTAGGTTCTTGCGACCGCTTGGCGGGAAAATGCCACCCGTGATGTCTCTTTCTATCCTCCCACAACCGGGTATTACGATCAGGCTGCCCAACCCTCTATCAACCCCAAGGTCCCACAAAGTAGTTCCCATCTATATATGCCTTCCAAAGCCCAGAAGCTTGACCGCGATCATTGATTGATGAACGTTAAATCAAGCTACTGTCATAAGGAGACCAAGCTATCCATGACATAGCCATAGACTGGTTGCTTATCGTAGTTCCTTCACAGCAAGCCCTTCTTCTTACTAGCTTTTCGTGAGCTTGTGGACTGAGGTAAAGTTCATGGACGTGGATTTTGACATGGAGTCCAACAGCGACTTCTCCCAGACCCCGAGACAGGAGTAGTTGGCTTCAAGAAGGGCGCCCCTTCAATCAGTACAAGCACTTGGCTGAACGACCCCAAAAATGTTGCTAAGCACTTCGCCTTACAAGCCGCTAACCACGCTAAACCTTGACTAAGCTCGCCACCCGCCGTGCTGTCGCGCAGCCGGAGAATGCCGAAATTTCGTTCAACAAGTCAAAAAGTCAAATAGTCTTACTGTTCGCGGAAAGTGCAATTTTTCTCTAAAAAGGTCAACTGTTCGATTTTTCGGGCAACAAGTCAAAACGTCCAGCTTTTCGCAAAGAGTTGCACTTGTCGACTTTTCGGGCAATTTTCGCCAACAAAAATAGTTTTTCGACTTTTCAATCAAGTTTTGCAAAAAAAAAAACTTTTCAAATTTTCGAGCACGCTTCGCAACAAGTTACACTTTTCGACTTTTCGCTCAACTTTCGCACAAAAAAAAATTTCGAGGTTTCGGCAATTCTCGCGAAACGTTCTACTTTTCACAAAGTTGCACTTTTCAACTTTTCAGGCAACTTTCGCAAAAGGATCTTATTCATGACCCCATTTGTCCAAGGATCGTCCCATTAGTCCAGGGTACGCCCCATTAGTCCAAGGGTGTGAGGAATTCTGATTCATTTTTATCGTCGCTTCATTAGTCCAGGGTACGCCTCGTTAGTCCACGGGTGTGAAAAGTTCTGATTTTCTTTTATCATTGCCCCATTAGTCCGGGGTACGCCCTATTAGTCCAAGGGTATGGGGAGTTCTGATCTTGTCTTATCACCGCCCCATT